TTCACTGCTTTCACAGGAATTCAGTGATTAAAAGGCTAATCCTTCCAGGAAGGGTGAGTAAATGGAAACTCCAGCTGTGAGGGAAAAGAAAGAAGACGATCTTTGATATTGCTACAGACCGTTGAGCAAAAATCACAAAGCAATCTGCTAGAGAGACAGAAGACTTCTGTTTCTTTTTCTGAAAAATGTACCAGGCATTGACCCCATGTCCTTTATTGTTTCTTGAGATTTGGACAGCCAGCTTGAGATAACCACAAACAAGAACCAAATTGTTCATTACAATTTTGCATAAAAACTTATTTTAGTTTTGCATTATACTCTACTGATACAAATAATGGAGCTAGTTTGGCTATGAGGAACTGCAATCCTGTCGACCTTGGAGGAATGTTCTCTCTTTTATTCAAAGCAAATTAAAACTGTGTACAGATGTAAGCAACAGTACCTTCTTTCAAATGAAGAAGAAGAAAATAGACAAATCATTATCTGAACTCCAACTGCTCCATGCTGCAAGGTAGTGAATGTCACATAAACAACATTATATCCGCTTTGGTTAAAATGATTGAGAATTAAGGCCACTGGAGACCACAGAAGACTGTATGCTTCTGATGGTGATGTTACTAAAAAGACAGTTAAAAAAATAAATTTTAAAACAACCTGCAATGCAAAACACTGGCTCTATAGAATATTTTATTATGGCTGTCAGCCTTTATTTAATAATAATATTAATTATCAATAATATCTATTGATTATTGATTATTATATACGGTTACATTACTATATATGATACTATTTAATAATTATTGTTGTTTATAAAATATTCCAGGTGTCTGTAATAAGAACTTCAGTAATTAATTGGAAAAACATCTGTCTTCTTCTTTGGATTCTCAGACAGGCTCCAGAGTATGTGTGGAGTGCTGTAAATTATTTCATCTGAAAACATGTAATGACTATCAAGGAAAGAGGCAATGGGAACTCAGTAACTACAGATTCAACTTCCAGCCCAGCTAAGCTATTGCTCTTGTGCCTACAAGTAAATTATCAACTTTTTTGACTCAAAGATTTGATTGAACATCTAACTCAGAGTGATGTTGTGAACAGCAGTAAACTTGCAAGGTGTCTAGAGAGTAGCAGCTGGAACTAAACAAATGCAAAGCATTGCATTTTGTCTTTCATGTATGTCTAAAATATGTGTGTTATTTCACAGACATACCAAGGCGTTTTGTTTTTTTTTTCCTCTGAGACTTAAAAGTGAGTCAATGGAGGCAGGTGTGTATGTTTGGGCCTGAAAGGTCAAAATTTATCTCTTTGCATCCATAATTTTTTTAATTAAGAGGGAGCAGATCCCAGTTACTGTAACTGCCGATAATTCTCTGACAGGCTTATAAATTTACTGGGAGGCAAGAGACAGATGTGTTAGTTACAATTTCAGATATGTTTGTGCTGATGATGCTGGACTGACACCAAGGAGAAATGGAACTACATTGCTAATGAGGTAGATAAGGCCTGAGCAATTACAATTACATTCTTCTAAATCTCTGAATCAATCATCAATTAAAGCAAACTGGTGCCTTGATGGTCCGGAAGAACCCCGACAAAACTGTCAGAAACCAAATAATTAATAACACAGGAATCAATTTCTTTCCCTTCTCTCAGCTCAATCAGCAATACTGGAGCAGAAAATTGGGAAAGGGAGAACCAATAGATGAACCTTGATTTCTTAAGATATAATTGAATGGCTTCTCTCAAGTTAAAGTGAACAGTACTGTGGTCTGACTTGTTCAACAGGAGAGACTATATCTAACAAGAAGTGACAACAGAGGCAGAACAAAACTAAAGGCAGGAACTCAGGAAAAGAAAAATTAACATAAACCAAAGGGCACAGCTTGGCTGTAAAGGGCTGAGTGTGATACTCCTCATTAAGTTCTTCAAATATGGCACTTTTTAAGCCACTAACTTTTGGGAATAAACAATGGTTTAACATTCTATTTGAATGAAATTAAGGCAAATCTGAGAAAGACAACTTTTGTTAAAACATAAAATTTAGTGTTATGATTGACAGAGAGCAAACCAGACTCTAGAAGTCAATGTTTTACATACATCTGTATTCAGTCCTTCATAAATTACAAAAGCTAATAAATCACTCCTGATAAATACATGGATTTGTCATTCTAGGTCTATTTAATAAATACACAATATTGAAGATCAGAAGGTGTTTTTGCCTTGTGATAGTTCACTTTGGCAGTGTTAAATGTCTGGTGTTCTTCAATGTGTATTTCCACATTTCAGCTCCCTCTAAACAAATTTACTGGATATATTAATATTTTCTTTTGTAATGAAAGAAAATAATCCGACTGATAGTTTACTGGGGCAAGATTCAAACCCTTAATTTTGCTTTAGCATAAGTGCTTTTCAGGTTTTTTTATTATGCATTTGAGCACACACAGCAGACACGCTGGGAGTCCTAGTTCTCTAGTGCTGTTTACTCAGAGTCTCTTCCACCTGTAGAAAAATGCTCCCCAAACAGCAGGTAGCTCTTGTGTCTACTTTGCAGCCACGTTAATGGGAGATGAGTGTCTGGGGAAAGAAGTGGCGAATCAGGTCTTGCATCCCCAATTTTAAAAGTGCTAATTAGCTTCAAGCTTTAGTTTACTTGCAACTGTTATGGTATTAAAATTTCTGTCAGCTGACTCTGCTTCTGCTCCTTCCTCGTCCATGTACTTAATTACACATTCTTCTGATGTTTTTCCGAGTCTCTTCCAATCAGTCTTCAAGTTTAATCGTCATAAGACAGAAATGAGGATGATTGCAGATGTTGATTGCAAGATCCTTGGTCACAAAAGTATGTCTTTTTCTGCTGCTAAAGAGTAATTGAAAGCATCTGTGAATGCTGAGGACCGGGAGCAGATGGCGTGCTGTCCTGGAACGCACGCTGCCAGAAGGGGGAACCTGCTGCACATCCTGGAGCGAAACCCAAGAGTATAAACCACTTGAGGCTGCAGGAGCTAAAAGTGTCGGTCTTGAGGCCCTCACTTTGTTTTCTATTACTTTGATAGTACTTCAGCCGAGTTATGCTAGATTTACAGTATTCAGCTGAGACAAAAACATGTTTGCATAGCTCTTTGGCACAGATAATGAAAAAAAACCACAACAGTCTATTAAGACAAGGGTTAGATTAATGGAGGATTAACCCTTTCCAAGACCTTGCAAATGGCACATACTAGACGTTGCAGAGAGAGCAGGAGACTTCTGCTCTGTGCTATCCTGCTCACTCCTCCTGTCTATGTTGCTGTTATACCTGTACTTGATCCAAGCTTTAAGATTTAATTATTATTAATAACAAATTTCAGAAATGTATTTCAAAACTGCTGCATTTTAATGTAATACTGCTTACAGGATGATTTTGGGGCACATGCAGCTTTGAAGAGGCTTTTTTTGTTGGTCGTTTTTTTCTTTTTACTTTTTGCAACACAGGGAACCAGTAACACTGAAGACAGCCTGAGGTGGCCTATTTAATTTGCACTTTGCATCACCTTTGTGTGACATCACTGTGCCACCACACTATCAGGGAGCTGGACAGTGCCCTGCTGGGGATCTGGGACCTCATGATTCCTGTTTACATTGCTGACAAACAGCACTAAGTCTGTGTGTCACTAAATCATAGACGTGAGAAACGTTTGTCGTGCCAATGAACAGGCCCACACAGATCCTTCAATGAAGCACAGTTTATTTACATTCTTGCGAGAATGAGTGTCCTAAACAAGTAGGCACACCCATGCTAAGGTGACTAACGGTTTATATTCCCTATTCCCGACGCAAAGTTCCCTCCCTTGTTTCCCCACTGGCTGGGTACTGCAGGGTTTACAGCCTACCTGACGCTTCAAATTATCCTATAAGTTTCCCGCCTCTGTTTACACATTGCATTCTAGCAGTTTACTTTTTACCTTTTAAGGTAAGATTTTGACCTTTCTTGCCCCCTTGGCTGTCTTCCCAATTAAAAAATCTACTGGTGTCATCCTGCCCTGAGGAGCAAGATAGAAGTGGCTTTGTTCAGTCTTATCTTGGGCCATAAATCCTTCTCCATGTTTGGATCCCCAGGTGGAGCCCAATTCACTCCCTCCATTTCTTGGGCCATAAACCACTCCTGGTGTCCTTGGAATGTGCAGGTATCTCATTTATCTCAAACAAACTATATATTTCTAACACTAGGGTAAGATATATAAACCAAACCCGACACTATGTTTCTGACACTAGAATGCAAAATCAACACTACATTTCATTTCTAACAATAGGTTTGGTTTGATTGGAGAAATGACCTTTGAAATCGCCAAGCCCAACTGCTAACCCAGCACTCGGCCAAGCTCACCACTAAAACACCCCCTGAGCACCGTATCTATGCATCTCCTAAATGCCTGCAGGGATGGCGGCTCCACCGCTACCGGACGTCCTGTTCCAGGACCTGACAACCCTCCCAGGGAAGAAATGAAACTTAAACCTCCCCTGGCACCGCTGGAGGCCATTTCCTCATTTGCTACCTGGGAGAAAAGACCCAGCACCGACCTCGCTCTAACCTCCTTCCAGGCAGCCGGCTCTGGGACGCCCGCCCGGCCCCCGGGAGGCAGACCCTCCCCGGACACGGCAGCTGCCCGGTGCGGGCCCCGCGGAGCGCGCCGAGGCCTCGATGCGGGCCCCTAGCGAGGCCTC